GGGGGGGGGGGGACATGTGCCCCCTGGATCTGTGTGTGGGGCAAGGGCAGGTTGCTGCTGAGTGCTTTGCCCCAGGCGTCAAACTTCATTGCTGCGGCACTATGTAGAAATGAAAGGTGCAGTATGCAGAGAGCAAAACATCAGTTTCAACCGCTTGTGCTCATGCTTGATTGTCTACTGGGATCAATCATAATCATAATCGTCCCCCTGCTTTCTGGACCCATAACTTTTGTGAATTGAGTGACATCCAATTTTGTAGGTATCACAGTGCTTGTGTCCATGCAGAGAGGTCAGGCAGTGTGGTCAGGGGTTTGTCCAGGCAGGGAGAAGCCTGAGTCTGCACTTACTTGCTTATCTCCCCGCACCTCGCAGCACCCTTCAAAGGATCTGGTGATCCCCAGTATTTAGATCACTGATCTAAATACTGATACTTTATCCTACTTACATTTCAACTTTTAAATCATGATAGAGAAATCTAATGGGTTGCAGATCTGGGGGATTGAATGATATTTGTACAGGCTGTTTAAGCTTCTGCGGTATGTCTGTAAGTTCTCTTGGTATTTTAGCTAGTGCGGTCACAAGGGTCAGAGGTTCGAATTAGAATCAAAAGACTTGAATACAGATTCTTCTTGAGAGTTGGCCTCCCTCCAACCTGTACCCATTAACAGTCTCTTTGTTCCCACACTGTACCTCCAACAGCTTTGGTTTCATCTTTATACCCCAGGAGAGAGGGATATATAACATTATTTTCCCTGGAAAAGGCACAGCACTTTATGGAAAGAAAGGTAGTCCTTAACTTTCTGCATTCTGGCAACTGAAAGCAATAAACCATGAAAAAAGATTCTTGTCTCAGGGAAGGGATATGACATATGAGATCCAGCACCTTTTTCTTGATGTCCTTTTTCTGTTTCTTTACAACTATAGCTGCAATTTGTGGCATTACAGAATAGGTGATGAATTGGTCTAAGAAGCTTCAAGACTGGATCTTTTGGGGAAAGAGATTGTATCCATGCTCTTGGCATTCTCAGACACAGGCTATACATAGATGTTATAATGGAAGGAGAAGTCCTGAGGTCATATTTGAAACCCAAGTCTTGTCATTCAAGGCCTATACTGGCATTACATTTGAGAGGAGCAGTAGTGGAACCCACTGGAGTGGCAACTAGGCCCCCCAATTACTATGCCTCTAAAAGCAACTTGGGGAAGGACGCACGCATGTGGGTGTGAATTAATACAAGTAAGCAAGCAAAATGGGCAAGATGGAATAGACCTTATTAGAATGGACAAAGGAGGCTTCCTGATGACGTATCTGACAAAAGCTTCCTGTGGAACAATGCGGGTCTTAATCTCTTAAATGATAGTCAACAGACTCATAAGTAGCTAGTCAGCTATACCAATTAGATACACCACTTTAAATAACTGGCAGCTAGCAAAATCACCCTTCCTTAATCTTACC